CCCCAAAACCCCAAAACCCCAAAACCCCAAAACCCCTTAAGAGGGATATAAGTTTGAAAGTTAGAGATAGAATAATATTTAGAAAGTTAATGAAGGAAGTAGGGGTTAAGAATGGAGGTAGGAGGAGAAAGAAGGATGGTAAGGAATGAAGGGGAGGGATTTGGGGATTGGAGGGGTTAGTTGAGGGTGTCTTGGGTTTGAAAAATTTTGATGTTTGGAAAAGATGAGGTTTGTTAAGAATAGGAAATTAATAAAGAAGGAGAGTAAAGGGTGAGAGAAGGCTTTGTAGTATCACATTTTTCATGATGAAAGCTCGAAATTTATAAAATAGACATTCCCTCACATCTCCTTATGCTTTTAATCTAATCCTGGTTATCCTCAACATTCTACATTACCCACTTAGACTCCCTCTCGATCTTTTCATTTTTCAGTATGGCAGTAACTAACTTTTCAATCTAGTAAAAAGTAAATTGCGAAAAAATTTCCAATCTTCTCTTCGTAAAAAGAGAATCTGTTTCTCGGCGGACAAGTACTCAGAAGCTTTCCCTACAGCTACTATTGCAGAGTCGACCAGAGCTGGTAGCTCAGAGTTGAATCCTGTGAAGCAGCACAGTAGGAACTCTACAAAAGCTACTAGCTATCTGTCATCTAAAGCAGAGTGGCCCCTCTGCAATGTTGGGATAGATATAAGGAAATTTATTCGGTTCAACTCACCCACTACCATCTCTGAGTCTCAGAGATCTAAAGGCTGGCGCATCCTTACAAATTTCATCTGCAACGAAGAAGAAGAGGATTTCAAAGACAGTATTTCTCAGATTAAGGACTACAACAAGTAAGCAACTCATTTAAACTCTAAAGTACATTTTTGTAGTACAAAAGCATCCCTAACTTGTCTATATAGCTGAATTCAGGCCTGTAAGACAGTACGGAAGACCAGGGTGAAGTCCCGAGGCAGGAGAGTGTTTAGCTACAAAAACCTTAGCTTTAACATGCCCCTTAAAGTCTCTAAATAAATGCTTTGGGATGAGTGAGAATTCGGAAAAATACAAGATTCAAGCTAAAAGTAAGTGATTGATTATGACTCTAGATAACCAAATTATCAAGAATAGTGCCAAGTTCTCATCCCTTCTTGGACAAAATGGTCGATACTTAAAGGACAAATCTCAGGATACAACTAATGAGGCTATGACTTCTTTTCCTCATGATGATAAGGAGAACATTCAGAGGCAGAATAAGAGTAAATATGTTCCTACAATGCTGCTAAAACTTGCAAATAAATCACTAGGGGATAAGCTATTGATCCCAATTAAGATAAAAAGATTATAAGAGTCAATAGTCTTGCTGAGGAAACACCTGAGAACCCACTGGAAGAACTTGAACAAAGTAAGACCTATGATGCGACAACAAGTGATAAGTATGAGATACCAAGGTAAGCATATTTAATTCAAAAAAGGTCTAAGAAATGGCCTGAGCTGGTCTAAACTAGATATTTGATACAATGACGAATCTTCCCCTTAGTTTTGAATCATTAGATTTCAGTAATACACAACCGAGTTGTTTTGCAAGACTTCAAGTCAAAAAGATACATACCTCTCTCACATAATTCTAAATTTCAGTTCTCAAGTTTCTGACAGCCTTGTTGTCGTATGAGCTAGCTTACTCTACTTCAAGTTCTTTCCAGTTTTTAAATATTCGAAAAGCCTTTAAGCTTAAGTTTTTATACTCTTATTGACAAAATGAACTTCATAATATTGAGTCTCTAGTCGATACCAGAAGCTGCGTGCCAGAATCGATCCTGATAAAATAAAGAAGGCAAAGTCTAAGCTTAGAGAGAAAAGGAGCTGAAACTCAATGACAGACTACCTAGATTCTATAAGGCACAAGGCGGTGGATATTTATAAGAAGCCATCTATCATAAATCAACTGAGATTTTAATTCAGTTTGCATGTAACTTAAAGGGGTTTTGGGGTTTTGGGGTTTTGGGGTTTTGGGG